GGAAGGCCTGGAGAGAGGGGAGGGTTCAGATCTCCGCGGGGAGGTCATTCCAAAGGGCCGGAGCTGCTACAGAGAAGGCCTTCCCCCGGGTGGTAGCCAGATGGCATTGGCTGGTAGACGGAACCCGGAGGAGGCCGACCCTGTGAGATCTGACGGGTCTTTGGGAGGTAATTGGCAGCAGGCGGTCTCTCAAGTATCAAACCCAATTGCCTTCCTTTAACAACTACAGTAACTAAGATGCTGAGGAACATAAATGGGGATGGCTTCATTGAACAGAGAGAGATGGGTGCCAAGCAGCAGTAGCTTGATACACAACAGGCAACAACCTGGGTTGGACATAGATGACCTGCCCTGTGTCCCTTAGGCTAGCTTGTTCTCCAAGCATGTGGAAGAAAGTGATCCATTTGCATGACTGAAGAGTCAATTACTAGCATGATTAACTTCAAGCACCTGGAATGGGCGGAGGGCACAACGTTGCCCTTTGCCTTAGGAAATAAAAGTTACTTGAGGTTTCCCTTGATTGTATGCATAGACTGAAAGTGACTCATCAGCATTTGTTTACAAGCCTTTCTCAACCTCAGCTGGTGAACTAGGAGGCTGAGCATGAAACTTTGCCTGATCTGCTTCAGCACACTTTCTCAGCTTCTGTCATCATCCATTTTCTGCTTTCCCCTCTGAAATAATAGTATAATCCCCTTGATGAAAAGGAAGGGAAGTTTAAGATAGAGCTATGAATTAGCTAGGTTCCAGTTGGATGAATTCACCAAGAAAGGGCCCAGTGGAACAGCATATTACTTGCATGGTAAATAGGTCCACAGCTGAGTATCTTCAGCCACCATCAGTCAACGCAGATATACAAAGGGAACACTATCCTAGTTTAAAGTTTAAAGCAATTTTTAATGCTCCTAAATTAGGGCTGCGGCAGAAGGGTGAAAATGATGCAGTGGCTCAAATAAGGGTACATAACTGAGAAATGGATGGAAAATGAAGTATTGATAATGAAGAGGTGAGAAGTTGGAAAGAAAAGGACATGACAGTAGGAATTGTCTCTTCTAGCCAGTGATGGGAAGCTGACTATCTCTCTAATAAAGAAGCTGAGGGAACACCAAATAGGGACAGTGGTGCAACTCACCCCATGTTTTTTACACAACAGTTTCTAGCAGATCACAAAGGAGGAAGTAAGGTATTTAACAAGTTCTACAGAAAGAAAGAATAGCAACAACTCCAAATTAAAACAAAAACAAAAACTCTGCTCCATTAGCAGCCTCTTTTGATGGAATCTTGAACACGTGATTACAAAATTAAGCATTGAAATCCTTTTACATCACAGGAACTGGCAAATTTCTAACAAGTAACTCTGCCAACTCAGATGGTCTTTTTACCCATGTTTGAGTCCTGCCACACAGACATTATGACCCAAAAGCTGCAGTCTAAATGTTTTAAATTCTGTTGAAATCCATGAGATTTAATTTCTGCAAGAATCTCTTTTTAAGGTAGAAATCCATGCAATTCAAATGTATATTGATTTAGTACAGATAGAATAACTTAATGCTTTTAGGTTTGACATTGTTCCTTTTTTTCAGAAGACAGGAGGTGTAACGTAATGGAGTAATAATTTATGTGCAACTACTCTTCCCATTTATAGCTCCAGTGACCAAGCTCTCTGCAAGCTGAAAAAAAACTTTAAATTAGGATAGGCAAATAGGAAATGTCCATTAGTATAAATGTACATCTTGACAAAAACCTCTCTGAATTTTTATTTCAAAGTCTTTTAGAAGTACAAATCTAGTCATTAGAAAACCTGTAACATCTAAAGAACAATTGCTGGAATTTGGGATGTCTAGTTTAATGAAAAGAAGGGCATGATAACAGTGTTCCAATAACTCAAGAGCGTTCATAATGACAAATAAATTACACAATGAATAAAATAGCACATCATTTTTGGATAGCAATGTTCCAATATCCAAAGGGTTGCGACAAAGAGGAGGGAGTCAAGCTATTCTCCAAAGCACCTGAGGGTAGGATAGGAAGCAATGAATGGAAACTAATCAAGGAGAAAAGCAACCTAGACATAAGGAGAAATTTCCTGGCTGTCAAAACAATTAACCAGAGGAACAACTTGTCTCCAGAAGTTGTGAATGTTCCAACACTGGAAGTTTTTAAGAAATTGGATAACCATTCGTCTGAAATGGCATGAGCAGGGGGTTGGACTAGAAGACCTCCAAGCTCCCTTCCAACTCTGTTATTCAATCCTATTCCTAATTCTATTCCTAATTCTAATTCTATTTTACACATATTCACTGCATCTTTTTATTTAATAGGATTTAAAGATTGTAATCTCTTTGTGATTAACCAGGAATTTCCCTACCCATTACCAAATATTGGGAGGCATCTCCCATTGGTGTCTGGCAGATGGCAGAAGTATGAAATGCAGTCATATTATTTGCCATGTGCTCCAGGAGAAAGAAAGAAAGAAAGAAAGAAAGAAAGAAAGAAAGGAAGGAAGGAAGGAAGGAAGGAAGGAAGGAAGGAAGGAAGGGGAAGGGAAGGAAAAAGAAAAAAGAAAGAAGGAAAGAAAGAAGGAAGGAAAGAAAGAAAGAAAGGAGGGAGGGATGGAAGGAAGGAAGGAAAGAAGGAAATAAAGAAAGAAAGAAAGAAAGAAAGAAAGAAAGAAAGGAGCAAGGAAGGAAGGAAAGAAGGAAAGAAAGAAAGGAAGGAAGGAGGGGAAGGGAAAGGGAAGGGAAGGAAGAAAAAAGAAAGAAAGAAAGAAAGAAGGAAAGAAAGAAAGGAGGGAGGGATGGAAGGAAAGAATGAAAGAAAGAAAGAAAGAAAGAAAGAAAGGAGGGAGCAAGGAAGGAAAGAAGGAAAGAAAGGAAGGAAGGAAGGAGGGGAAGGGAAAGGGAAGGGAAAGGAAGGAAGAAGAAAAAAGAAAGAAAGAAAGAAAGGAGGGAGGGAGCAAGGAAGGAAGGAAAGAAGGAAAGAAAGGAAGGAAGGAAGGAGGGGAAGGGAAGGGAAGGAAGAAGAAGAAAGAAAGAAAGAAAGAAAGAAAGAAGGAAAGAGAGAAAGAGAGAAAGAGAGAAAGAAAGGAGGGAGCAAGGAAGGAAGGAAAGAAGGAAAGAAAGGAAGGAAGGAGGGGAAGGGAAAGGAAAGGGAAGGGAAGGGAAGGAACAAGAAAAAAGAAAGAAAGAAAGAAAGAAGGAAAGAGAGAAAGAGAGAAAGAGAGAAAGAAAGGAGGGAGCAAGGAAGGAAGGAAAGAAGGAAAGAA